CCTCTGGAGTAGGGTTGCCAGGTTTGGGTTGGAAAATACCTGAAGACTTTGGGGGTGGATCCAGGAGAGGGCGGGGTTTGGGGAGGGGAGGGGCCTCAGCATGGTACAATGCCATAGAGTCCACCCTTCAAAGCAGCCATTTTCTCCAGGGAAGCTGATCTCTGTCAGATGGAGATCAGTTGTAAAAGCGGGAGATCTCCAGGCCCCACCTGGAGGCTGAAGCAACCTGAGCTGCAGTGTTAAGAGAGTCTAGTAACAAATAAATATACACTGCAAAAACCTTTTAACAGACTAATGTGTTCTATTTATGGTCATCATTTAGTAAAGTGCATAGTGTATCATTATTTCATCCTAGTCCGGTATAAATATTCATTACATTCAATAAGCAATAACATTCAGTACATACAGATTGATAACTACCAGACAATCTTGCATCAGTGTTTTAAAAGTCAAGCCCCAACGGGAGTTTCTAGAATTATAAACCCACTTCTCCTTGCATGAAGTCTTCCAAAAAGGGAGACAGCTTTCTTAATAGTTGTATGGATGCTTTTTGCCGGTCCTACAAAAGACACATTGTGCAGCTAACATTCATGGATGGAGAGCAGGGAAACTTCTATTCATTCCCCAGTCCAACCGACTGTGGAGTGGCTGAATTTCTGCTGCTCCCAGGGATGAAGACTGCCTTGGGACAGTCCCTGTTTTCCTACACTTTTTGGCCTTGGGGCAGTTGGGAACTGTAGGCCAGCAGATGAGGAAGTCCCATTTAACCCAGTGAGTGATACCCCTGCAGGCCCCTCTCTGGAGCTACAGCTCAATTAAACCTTATGGGGGAACATTTTAAACAAAGAACCACAGCCATCTTACAAACACAGATGACTGCCATTTTGTGACACCTACCAACAGCCACAGAGGGGACAGTTAATCTCACATAGGAAAAGCTTCTTCATTAAGAGAGAAAGCCGTTTGCCAGTAATTCTGACAGGGCACAGTGGCTGAAGGAGGAGTGGGTGGGGAAGAGGAGCAGACCCAGCACCTGGCACGGGGGTACTCTTGGGTGGCAGCTGACGGGCCAATGGCTGAGGGAGAGCGTGGAATCTTGCCACCCCAAAACAGGATTATAATATATATTCTTTCCTTCTCCATTTTATAATTACAACAACTCTTTGAGGTAGGTTAGCCAAGTGTGTGTGCACTGGTCCGTGGTAACCTGGTGAGCTTTCATGGCAGAGTGGGGGATTTGAACCTGAATTTCCTAGATCCTAGTCTGACACTCTGACCACTTCACCACACTGCCTCTCAATTGTACCCAAATGCCCCCTTCCATCCAAGCCACAAGTAAAACATTAGAACATCAAAAAAGAACTCCAGACACGGCGACTTTATTTATATGCATATGAGACAGAGATCTCAGGCCCTTTTGCTCAGTGCCCATCAACCAACTCCTTAAGATTGGGCTTGGTTCCTGGTTGTCATGTGTCAACTTTTATAAGGACCTATGGAAGAAATCTAAAATCTGTGGCTTTGGCCTTAGGGTGGTGTGAGTGATTGATCAAACAACTCTCCTGTGTTGGCTACCAAGCAACTGGTAGAGGGAGGGGCTGTTTTACTTCCTAAAATTCTGAATTGCCCAGATGTTTCCCCTTGGCACCATACAAGGCTTGTGATGAATCACTGGTTTCATCTGAAGATAACTACAGAGTATCCCAACCTGGATAGTTTAGGCAAGCCCAATCTCATCACATCTCAGTAGCTAAGCAGGGTCAGCCCTGGTCAGTATTTGGATGGGAGACCTCCAAGGAATACTAGGGTTGCTATGTGGAAGCAGGCAATGACAAACCACCTCTTAAGGCCTCTTGCCTTGGAAACCCCATGGGGGTAGCCATAAGTCAGCTGTGACTTGATGGCAACTCTCCCCCCCCCCCAAGCCCCAACAACTAAAGAGTCCCTTCAAGAGTGGGGCCAGTGACAGTGGTCTGCCTTCAGAGCAAGTGGAATCCAAGCAGGTTCCTCACCGCTTTGGCAGAGTTTCCCAACTGATGCACCTCAGAAGGACCTCATTTATTTATTTGAAATCTCTTATCTCCTTTTTCATTTCCAGTTTGAGTTTTGAAAGTAGTTAACAAAGCTCATCAAAGAGCAGACAAAGCAGAATTCTATTTACTGCTGCTGGGGGGGGGAGCTGGGAGGAACGCCTTTATCGGCTTGCTGTCTTTATGCTACATATGCTCCAGGGGGACTTACAGTTTTAAACTACTGTAGCAATACATAAACAATGTTATTTACTTGTATCTTTGAAGTTACAGAGTCTAGAAAGAGCGGTATATCTTTCTACATCCCAGTGTTTCGGGTCTGTTTTCTCTTGTAAGCTTGGTTTCTTCTCTAATCTGTGGCTTCAATCGTGTTGAAGTTTCCCATGAGCAGGAGGATTTTCACATGTGAAGCACAACTTTCTCACTTCTCCCACTGTCTGCTGCAGGACAAATGCCACCCCATGCTGCTCCTCCGGGGCAAGGCAGGGGGAGGGTTGCTGTGAGAAGGAAACAGGACCCCCCCCCCCGTAAACGTGGATCTGTTCTGAATTCAGTGTAGCATGCACACATGGATCACTGGCTCCCAGTGGAGTACTGGGTCAGGTTCAAGGTTTTGGTACTGACCTTTAAGGCCATGTGTGGTCTGGGACCTAGGTATCTGCAGGACTGCCTTTTCTGGTATGTCCCCTGTAGAGCTTTATGCTCTGCTGAGAATAACCTGCTTGTGATCCCTAGCCCCAAAGACGTCCGGCTGTCCTCCCACCTGGTGGAACTCTCTGCCAAATAACATCCACGCCCTGCGGGACCTTATGCAGCTCTGCAGGGCATGCAAGGCAGAGATGTTCCGCCAGGATTTGGTTAAGGATAACTTGTAGTGTTCCATCCATGGATAATAAGACCAGGTACTTTAGCAGGAGAGAAACAGCTGTTGCAATCTGTGGCCTCTGGTGGGCAGGTAATCCATGGTGCGAAGGGCAACCTTTCTTTTTGCTGTCCTAGGATTCGAAAAGTGTGGCAGAAGAGAAAATGTGGCGTGAAGTATGGCTATCTCACCATCTCGCACAGCACGGTAAGCAGGGTTGGCGAGTGGGTGGGAGGAGGAGATCCCAGAAACTCACCAGATTTCCATAGCTGACTTGGAAATTCTTCAGGACATAAGAAGAACCCTGCTCAGACCAATGGTGGTCCAGTACCCTGTTTTCCCACACTGGTCAGAAGAAGACTTTGGAATGCCCATGTACAGTGGCATAGAGGCTGACTCCTCCCCTTGTTGTTCCCCCCCAGTGTTCAGGGCTAGACTGGCTCGAAACACAGAGACTCTGATTAGATTTTTGGCTAATAACCATTGAGGCGCCAGTCTTCCATGAGTTTATTTAGATCCCTTGGCACCCATTCCTATATCCTGTGGCAGGGATATATCCCTGCTATATGGATATAAGTTGGCACCAGTGTTCCCTCTAAGCTGAGTTAGTGTGAGCCAGCTCACAGTTTTTTAGCCTCCAGCTCACAGATTTTTGCCTTAGCTCAGGAAAGATGGCTCCAGAGCAAACTAATTTATGCAGTAGCCAAATCGCTCACTCACAACTTTAATGCCAGGAACTCACAAAGTAGGATTTTTGCTCACAGGACTCCACAGCTTAGAGGGAACATTGGTTGGCACCCATTACTATATCCTGTGGCAGGGAGTTCCACAAGTTAGGTATGCATTTTGTGAAGACATATGGCCTTTTGTCATTACCGGTCCCCTAAGGTTACCAACTCCAGCTTGAGAAATTCCTGGATACTTGGGGGTGGTGCCTGGAGTTGGTGGAGTTTGGGGAGAGGAAGGAGCTCAGTGGGGAAGTGATGCCATAGAGGCCACTCTCCAGCTTCAGGGGAGCTGATTCCTGTAGTCTGGAGACCAGTCGTAATTCCAGGAGAACTGCAGGTGCTACTTGGGGGCTGGCAGCCCTAGAAAGTCCTGTTGTTGATTTGTGCATATACTGAAGGTGTACCTAATAATGTGCAAGTGGTTAAGATGCTGAACTGCAGGCTGGAAGGTCGGTAGTTCAGCAGTTTGAGACCCGAGTGTGCCACATGATGGAGTGAGCTCCCGTCTCTGGTTCCAGCTCCTGCCAACCTAGCAGTTCAAAAGCAAGAAATTGCAAGTAGATAAATAGGTGCCGCTTCGGCGGGAAGGTAACAGCATTCCGTGCGCCTTGGCGTTTAGTCATGCCGGCCGCATGACCACGGAAACGTCTTCGGACAGTGCTGGCTCTTCGGCTTGGAAACAGAGATGAGCACTGCAACCCTAGAGTCGGACTCGACTGGCTTTTGAGCAAGGGAACCTTTACCTTAAAATACACACATTGGGAGGATCTGTGCATGGTTGTCGGGGTCCTGACATATGGCCATGAGGTTTGAGGAGGGCTTCCGAACAAGCAGTGCCGGATTTACGCATAAGCTAAATAAGCTACAGCTTAGGGCCTTGCAATCTGCTGGGGCCTCGAATAAAAACACAATATAAAAAATGATTTCAAATATTAAATAGGCGTATATATTTTAAATTTTTCTGAGACCAGCTGATGTGATTTAAAACAGTAGGGGGGCTCTGGGTTTTGTATAGCTTAGGGCCTCAGCAAGTCTAAATCCGGCCCTGCAAACAAGCTACCAGTTTCAATCATGGATTACCCCACAAGATGATGATTCCATTTTCTGTTTCTCCACTTTCTCCTCTAACCTGTCATCTTACTAAAGTCTCCTGACTGGGCCTATTCTTGGCAGGAAGCTTGGATGGGTCCCCTCTCCTCTGTTTGTTTGAATTCCCAGCATCTGGATATGAGCTAGCCAGTTCATCTGTTCTCTCATGGATGCTGTGAGAATGATCCCTTGCTCAGTTATGCTCAGCAGACTCCCAACCAGGCAAAGGGCAGGAATGAGCTCAGGATCCCAGATTGGACTTGGCAGCTCAGCAGATGGTCAAACCAGCAGTTCTCTTACTTCATTCGAAGTAAGGCCTTTCCAGTTCCTATCTTTAAAAAGGGCTGAGGGAAGAGAAAAGTGTGGAAACTATGTGTAAAGGTGCCAATCAGTGATTACCTTCTGGTAGCCTAAATAATTTAAAAAAATGTTTTATTGATGTCCTTTTTCTTTTTTAAAAGAAGGCCACAATATAGCTGAGAAACACAAATTGCTAAAAGCAGGCTGAAGGAAAGGGCCTACCTATCCCTCCTTCCCTCTCCTGCAGAGTGGCGTGCAGCTGAAAGATCATGCACCTCTGTTGGTCTATGAAATGCAGAATTCCAAGCAGCCTCATTTGTATTAGGGGCTAAAGGCTGATGGTGCCATCTGGAAGGTAGATCAGACCATCACCTGCCCACTCCAGATCACTCGCAACAGTGGCTCTTGTGCAATGTAATAGTCCCCCTCTGTGGATCAAAAGGAGCTGCGGTGGCTCAAGTGGTTAAGATGCTGAAATGCAGGCTGTGGAAGGTCAGTAGTTCAGCAGTTCGAGACCCGGGTGCCGCATGACGGAGTGAGCTCCCGTCTCTAGTTCCAGCTCCTGCCAACCTAGCAGTTCGAAAGCAAGAAATTGCAAGTAGATAAATAGGTACCACTTTGGTGGGAAGGTAACAGCGTTCCGTGAGCCTCGGTGTTTAGTCATGCCGGCCACATGACCACGGAAACGTCTTTGGACAGCGCTGGCTCTTCGGCTTTGAAACGGAGATGAGCACCGCAACCCTAGAGTCAGATTCAACAGGCTTTCGAGCAAGGGAACCTTTACCTTTATGGTCAAAAACCCTATGGACTCCTAAGAGAAAGGATGTTTCCTTAAAAATGCAAACTTTTTTCTCTTAAATACTAACAGCAAAGTGGGGAGAACAAGGTTTTGTTTAGCAAAGCCGAGCAAAAGTTGAAGGGTTAAACTTCTCCTTTTCCTGCACAGCTCCAAGGCAAGCTAAGGCTGCACCAGCTGTACTGCTGCTTTTGCATTTCCATTTTATAGATCGATGGAAATTTTTCCCTGACAGGGAAAGACCAGGTAGCGTGATGAAATGGAATGTCTAAATTAAAGCACCTTTTAAAATTAATCCCCGCTCCTTGTTTCCCACCCAAAGGCATGTATCTCTTTACCTTGAAGCTAATCTCTAGCTGATGTGTAACTGATATAGAATTATCTCCCCCCTTTTTGTTGCCTTTACAGATAAATCGGCCTCCTGTCAAGCTAAACCTATTGACTTGCCAAGTGAGGCCACTTCCAGAAGATAGAAAATCCTTTGACCTTGTGACACGTACGTAAAGGACTTGATATTGTTGTCCCAATACCACCAGGGGGCTTGTACAATATTGCTCTTAATTTTTTTAAAACATAGCCTTACTTTTGAAGTGCCCTAACCTGGATAGCCCAGGCTAGCCAAGGAATACCAGAGTTGTGACACAGAGGCAGGCAATGGCAAAACCACCTCTGAATGTCTCTTGCCTTGAAAACCTCTTTGGGATCGCCATAAGTCAGCTGCAGCTTGATAGCTAAAAAAACCTTTCAAAATAGGAGCTGTTGGGCATGGGTGGAAACTTCTTTTAACTGTAGAGCATCCCTTGCTTTAAATAATTTCATAGTCGTTTCATGGGACTGGTGAAAATTGTTTAAAAAAGAAATTATTCATCTCAGCTCTCTGTAGGATTACAAAGTTCAAGAATGGGGTTCCTTTCTCCTTCAGTAGGGGGGGGGAGTCATCCTCTGGGTTACACCTCCTACTTGCTCCAAGGCAGGGTTTATGCAAATTAAACTGATCTCTACGAGGACCAGTAGGAGGCAGACCTTCCCCAGTCAGAAAGCCCTGCTGCTCCAGGCAAGACTTGCATAGCCAGTTCCTTCATTGTTCTTTAGTGAATGCTTCCAAGAGTCACCCGATCCTGACACAGGACATCATCCACCTGGGAGCAAGGATTGTCACCTCTCATGGAAAGGTCTTTCTTACAGAGGAGAAGCTGGGAAATCTAATAAAAGCTGCTCAGAGCCTCACAACCAAGAGGCCAGAAGATGTTGTGGTCCTAGACAAACTTCTGCATCTCATGATTTCAGCCGTGGACATAGTTCAGGGGCTTGTTTTCACTCTTGTGCCCTCTTATGTGTTCTTTAACATTCCAATAGGACGTTCTAAGCCATCACCACAGGAGTCTCACCAGCTGTACCCAGATCCTAGTTTGGTGGTGCAATCAGAACAATCTGAACAAAGGAGTATCTTCTTTTGTTCAGATCCCTTGGTTCTGATGACCAATGCTAGTCTTCTGGGATGGGGAGCCCATTACCTGAGTTAGCTGACCCGGGGAAGTGCATGATGAAACAGACACAGAGTGGCCCCTTTGAGAGGAGCCTTTGTAATCCATTTTGTTAGCAGGCTGCTAATGGATTTTATTTACCTGTTCATACAAAGCTGCTTGCGCCCCATTGGCAAGGCGAGTCCGAGCCGTTTTTGAGGGGAACTGCTTTCTTCCGTTTTCACCTCTTTGTTGCACTTCTGAATTGTTGTGGTGTGCTGTTTAAAATGTCTGTAGCACTTCCTACAATGCTTCTCCAGTTCGGTGTAGTGGTTAAGTGCATGGACTCTAATCTGGGAGAACCAGGTTTGATTCCCTACTCCTCCACTTGCAGCTGTTGGATGACCTTGGGCAAGCCATAGGTCTGTCAGAGTTGTTCTCTCAAGGACAGTTCCGGAAAGAGCTCTCTCAGCCCCACTTACCTCACAGTGTGTCTGTTGTGGGGAGGGGAAGGGAAAGTTTTTAAGCCTCTCTGAGACTCCAAGTGAAGGGTGGGCTATAAATCCAATCTCTTTTTCTCCCCCCCCCCCGGCGATCTTCCTGGCCCTTTTGTTAACATTCTAAGTTGAGCACTATAGCGCTAAACCAATATAGCACTTCAGGGTTACAGCGGCACCATTGAGATGCCTTCACTCTGTTGAGAGAATATTTTGTTTTAGTGCTACAGTGGTCAACTTAGAATGTTTGTGTGTGGGGGGGGAGGGTGATGTAGATCACACAGTGAAAAAGGATGGGGGGAAAGGGAGGTGCAGTTTGAAATGGCCATAGCGCTTCAAAGACAGCTCATTCATGGGATGAAGTGTGCTGTATGAAACCCCAGTCCCTGTATCACTTTACTCGGAACAGGGCCAACAACGGATAGCAGATACCATTTAGAACAGTAACGTGAAAGGGGCCAGTATCAGTTGCATGCAATCAGGTTGGCACTGCTAGGCTTCAAGCATCTGGTAGCCAGAAGGCACATCCTAGACAAGATTGACAATGTCACAGCAAAAGTATGTATCGATCATTAAAGCGGAACACAATCTCACATCCTACAGAAGAAGGCAGCTCTGCTTTTGATTTGGGCCGAAAAATACCTTGCAACTAGTCGAGCAGATTATAGACCCAGGGGAATGGTCACCAAATCCAAAGGTCTTCAGAGCTGTCATGCATCATTTTGGGAATCCTTGCATAGATCTCTTCTTAGCTCCTTGCATAGATCTCTTCTCAACTCCAGACAATTGCAAAGGCCCCAGGTTCCTATCTTGATTTTAAAAAGGGAGGTTGGAGGGAGGGGGCCCAAGTGATATTGACTGCCTCCTTCTGGCCTAGAAGGCCATGGTTTTCAGATCTCATCAACATGAGGGTAGCTCAACCTTGGACCATCCTGCCATTGTCAGACCTGCTATAACAACAAGGCTGTCTCTCTTACCTGGAGTCAGAATGGCTACAACTAGCCATGTGCCAATTGAAAGGAGAGCCTTGGAGACTGGAGGTTTTTCACAGGGAGTGGTTGAGGTCTTGCTCGCTTCCAGCGAACTATCTACAATCCATATTTATGAACTCATCTGGAGAATGTTCCACAGGTGGTATAGGAGAAAACACCT